TTTACAGATCATAGAATGCTCTTTCGTTTGCTACATTTTGCATTCACATTTATTTCTCTTCTAATTCAATTTTAATATGTTTGTGATACATTTTTAATTCGAGTTTAATTCATTTTGTAGTTTATTGGTGATGCGTAGGAAAAAAACATGATTATAAGACATGTATAATACATGATTTATTCATTAACAATAAATAAATCTTGCACACTTCACTCTTTTTTTAATGATCCCAGCCCAAATAATTTATAATACACTTATAATACAATATAACACATGCATAATTTGATCCATGTCAAAGAAAGTGGAGATGTATCACTGTAAAATTGATATTCACCCGTCAATTATCAAGATGAAGTCCCATAACAAACATTGTCATCCCAATTTTAAGAGCAACTGCTTGGACTGTCAAATGTCCTTTTCTTCACGCACTACTTTGATATTGCATACGTGCATGCAATCAATTTGAGGTAATATTAATACTTGTCTTCGTTCTTTATTAGGTATTACATTTCTGCCTTCTTTTTTCATTTTTTTTTTCTATTTGTTCAAATGAAAGATGCATGCTACAAGAATGGTCATGCCCATAAAAAATTTCTATAGATACCTTAACATTTATTTTGATCCACGTCATTTCTTGAATCACATTAAATATAAAAGGATCAACAACTTAAATACCATTATAGTGGTTGACAACTTAATTTTCATGGACTTTATTCTCCCTTTAGAGCCATAAAACTGAAGTTGTGGCTCAAGATTGTGGATCTTTTAACTGTAGCTTTAAAAATTAGATACCTCGTACAGAGAAAAAAAAGGGGAGAAAGTGGCGAGAGAGAAAAAGGAGAAAGAGGCGAGAGAGAAAACAAAAAATCTAATAAAAATACATAGTATTGTTATATATTGCTATAAATGGTAATAATTAGAGAATATATTTAAAATAAGTAATTATTCTTTAAAAGGGATCCACACAAGTAATTAATCCATATTTTAATACGTAGAAAGTTTATGTATACTATCTAGATAACGAGTTGTTGGGAAATTATGAATATACGACAGACATCTTTCACCTTCCATACTGCAATTATATATATATAAATCCTATTAATTTAGGAGCTAATCACCAAAACACTCCAGTTTGTAATATTACGTATTTTACCAGATTTTGGCGTTTCAGATATGTTTAGATACGTCCCTATGCATGTATCTCGGTATACATGGGATCAAAATTAAATGTAATTGTATATTTGTATTTAAGTGGATTCGCATGTATTTGAGATATATAACAAATCTCGCTTGCCTCCATCACCTCTCTCCCATCTGGATCGCCACTCTCCAATGTATTTGTTATCCTAGATACATGTGAATAACACCAGATACATACATATACATGTATCTAGTGTATATTTAGTGTGATTTGCATGTATATGGAGATACATGACGATTCTCGCTCGCCTCTCTCCCTATTTTAGTCTATGTGGCAGTAAAAAAATGTATATTCAAGTTTATTTTCCTCAATATCTAGTAGGAAATTCTTAATTAATGGTAAGATAAGTAATACTATTGAAAGTATAATAATAATAATATATATAATAGTAAAGTATGTCTAATTACGTAGTCTTTCCTTAATACTATATATGACATTTTAAAATCTCTTTTTATTTATTAGTAAGTATCAGACTATCAGTCTATAATATGTAAGTTTGATATTAATGTTGCTTTAGGGTTTATTGTTACTTGGGTCTTTGTATATAAGTAGGTAATTGCTTTGAAAGGTGATGATATGGCTAATGATCGATGTGACTTTTTTTTTCGAGAAAGGTAACATGCATATTCATCAACACACAATTAACTCCGCCCATGTGAGGGTCACAAAGTATAGTCGATCTCAAATTGAAGTTTGAGGAGGACAAAGTGTATGCAAATCTTACCTCCTACCTCGTGAGGTAGTAGAGAGCCTATTTTCCAAAGACTCTCGCTTCAAGTATCACATAATAGAACAATATAATTTGAGATTAAAACACAGTAGTTGATAATTCAATATAATTTGTAGAGGTTCTATTGTTTTAACTTTTTCAAGACTTGATGTTTTTTCAACTATTTGAGTAGGAGTTATTAGTTCTAGAAAATCATTTTGTAATTTCATAATCATAATTTTGTACCAAACAGTCATAATTGAATCATGTTGGTAGCTAATTAGTACTGTAACTACCTACTATATATCATAACCCCTAATCATATGTGTACAACTAGCTAGGTTAACTTAAAAATCAACTTTTAAATTTTAAAAAATTGAAAATTAACAGGAGTTAATTATTTTGAATGCGTAAATATTGTGTATTTGGTCAAGCCAAACCTAACTCAACTAGCATATCAAGACTTTTGAGAGACTAAAATTGACTTCTTCTATTTCTTTGCCCTTCTTTGAAGCTCTAGTCCTAAAATTCCCACTCCCATAATATATCACTATTTTTATGTCGATAGC